ATCACAGTCCGTGGTAGGACCAAGACAGCTTAATGCCTTGCCAAAAGCGCTGAGAGGAGGGGAGTTCACCCTTGCAACATTCAAGAGATGACTGGACAATTGGTGAGAAAGATCCTGGAAGCAACAGCAACTTGCATCAGCTGGCCAAAAGGAGGGCAAATAGACGGAACACGTCCTACGCTACATCCGGGACCCGAGGGCGGGGTGACCTGCCTAGCGACGACTCGGAGACGGAGGACGACGAAGGCGGAGCATCAGCTTGACCATAGACTGAGAAGTCCTAAACTCACCATAAGATCATAAGGTAGGAGGAAGCCTTTTACGGTGGTTCCACAACTTCCTTGCAGATAGAGTACAAGCTGTCGCAATTGGAGACTGAAACCTGAGAGAAGCGAGGGTGAAAGGCGGAGTGCCACAGGGCCAAGGGCTTAGACCGATCATTTTCCTCATCCACATCGCCGACTCGGAGCTTACCCACGCATCTTCATCGTCATTTGCGGACGATACAAGAGTGTGGGGCAAATTTTTCCCACCATTAAAATTTGTAGCGACTCTTTGTTTATTTCAATTTTTTCGTTTGGTATTTTCGTTGTTGTATTAAGCTTGCAGTAGTTAGTTCAGTAGTGCAAGTATATAAGTAGTGGGTTTGACCAGTGTTCATTCCTTCATTTGCCATCAATCAATCAAGTCAATTGCCAATATCGTCTATAAATTTGAATTTAGTCATTATTCGAGCTTTGTACTATATAGCAGCATGGCCAACTTAATCGGCATAATTTATGTAATCACTCACTGTTATACGGTACTCCATATAGAAGAATTACTTGATCAGTTAAACTTATATAATCACGCCAAGTTATTAATAACTCAATTTTCAACTTGAATGTAAGCGCGTAGTCTTTTCCCCACAGCTTCCTGAGCTCTGGCCAACGCTTCTTCAACTTTTTCTACTTTTCACCGTCAAAGCTTCAAGTATTTTTATTATTTCGTCCCAGTGAAAATTTACAGGCGCGGCAGCTTCTGATTTGGTTAACCAGTAGCTGGGGCGACTCTAAATTTTGTTAGGATCCCGTCTTGAGTCTCGTCTTTGTACTTCTCTTCAACAATTGCAGCCTTCCAAAAGCTTAAGGCCCTGATTGAAAACCGAGAGGCTTCGAACAGGCTCGGCACTTCCCTAAGCGTTTCTTCACTAATTAGGATAGACTTTACTCCACTCGCAAATGAGATGGCGATATGGATTTTTCCATACTTATCCAGCTATTTATTTATAAGCGTCGACCAGTAATAAAAAATATGTAAACTTTGTATTAAAAGAGTTTTAATGAGAGGAAATTTCAAGAAACTTTGAATATTATTGTTCATCATGTCTGCGACTTTTACATTTNCATGAAGTCTGTACTCTGGCCGTGGCTCGGTCATTGAAAGGGAGAATTATGCACAGTCTCCCCCTCCTTTCGTTGTAATACGTGTCAATTTTAGAGGTGTATCGTCCGTAAATGACGATGTAGATACTTGGGTAAGCTCCGAGTCGATGTGGATGAGGACGAGGATCGGTCCTAGCACCGAGCCCTGTGGCACTCCGCTTTTCAACCTCGCTTCTCTCGATTTCATGTTTCCAATTGCGACAGCTTGTACTCAATCTGTAAGGAAGTTGTTGATCCACCCTAACAGGCTTCCTCCTACCTTCATCAGTCTCAGCTTTCTGAAGAGCACCCCCGTGGTCAACTTTGTCAAAAGCTTTAGCAAAGTCCAGGTATACTACGTCCACGCCCGCTCCCTCCTCAAGTAGGGCCATAAAGCAGTGATGGTGCTCCAGTAACAGTGAAAAAACGGAACGATTTGACCGCAAACCATGATGTCCATTATTATGCCGCCAGCCTCTTTAACATACTGGACAAACCTCCTGGCCACTACCTTCTAAAAAACCGTGATCCCCTGTGAGATCAAAGTCACCGGCCTGTAAATTTGAGGTCAGTTACTCGATCGGGCCTCTTTTGTGGAATGGCGTTATCAGTCTCATTTTGAGGCCCTCAGGAATAATTCCCTCCATCATCGAGGCTTTCCAGAGCCTGTCTCTTATACACATCTAGATGTGTATAAGAGACAGACGTATGACTGATGTCACGTATGACTGATGTCACGTATGACTGATGTCACGTATGACTGATGTCACGTATGACTGATGTCACTCGTCACTGGTTAACGTCGATTATAAACCTTGTCCATTCTCTGTGTCGTTCTATGGTTTTAATTAATGCTGTAATTATTTATTACTGCTAGACGAATTATTGCTCGTGAGTGTAGTTGTTTTATTAGCGAATTATTGTTTCATGTGTAATGTGCTGGAACTATTTATCCTGCTAATTCGTTTATGTCGTAAAGGATCACTTCGACTGACCGTTGTCAGGAGCGTTATTGTGACTTCTAATTTGTTTCATTTTAGCTTGATGCAATCTTTGTTTTATTATTTACGACTGATCACCACGCCTCAAGTAAATAGTTTTTTTCTTGTTACTTTCAGCTTACAAAAGAAATAAATGGATATAAAACGTACGCTTGTTCCTGAATAATTTACAATTCAACGGCACCAAGTTCGAAATGATGAGATACAGAGTTAGTCCGGAGACCAGACGCTACATCGCTAATTATCATCAAACGACATAAAAATCAAGGAGAAGCAACTCGTTCGTGATCATTTAGTGTTAATGAGTACTGAAGCGACGTTTGACGACCACACCGTGACAGTAGTTTCGACAAGCAGACAACAGATGGGGAGGATCTGGCTGACATTCCGAATGCGAGAAGTGGAGCCAATAATTACACTTATCAGAGCCCTAGTGCTCCCTGTTCTGGAGTACTGCTGCCAGCTTCGGGCACCACTTAAAGCGGGTGCGGTGCGGCAATTGGAAGCAGTTCAACGTCCAAGATCATTCACGTCCAAGATCAGCGGGAGGAGTGATCTATACTACTGGGACAAGTTGTAGCATCTGGGACTGTACTAACTGTACAATGGAGAAGGGAAGGCGACTTAGCTAATCCACTGAGTAGCCGATGGGTACGGGGCAGAGAAGCACGTGAGGAGCAAGAGGTTACCCTCAGTGCTTTTTTAGACATGAAGGACCAAATGCAATATCAATTGGAAATGATGCAAGGATAACTGCTCACTGGGCGCTGCAGTGCCCACAGCAGCGCGGGATAACTGCTCACTGGGCGTTGAAGTTCCCTTAAAAAGGTGGAAATTGTATCACAGCAACCGGCGGTGGCTGACTGACTGAGTCAGCACAGCACCAGCAGCAGCTGCAAAGCACCATCAGCTGCAACAGAGCCGCACCAGCAACAGCACAGCACCACCACCAGAAGCACCATGCAGAAAAGCTCCACCAGCAGCAGCAGCAGCACTAGCTAAGAACTTATAGACGTGATTTCTTTGGACTTTGCTAAAGCTCTTGACAGAGTTGACCATGGAGTGCTCTTTTGCAAGCTGCAGCTTCTGGAGGTAGAATCGAGGAAGCCTGTTAGGGTGGATCCACAACTTCTTTGCAGGCAGAGTACAAGTTGTTGCAATTTGAAACTCGAAATCGAGAGAAGCGAGGGTGAGAATTAAGCTGAGTGTCACGTACAGGACTCGGTGCTTGGACCGATCCTCTTCCTCATCCACATCGCCGAAATCGACTGGAACTAACCCACGCGTCTACATCGTCAATACAGAGTGCTGATGAGGCTCGTACACGATATGGCATGCGATAGGCTAAAGGATTACTTAAATGTCATCAATCTACGCAGACTACGCGTGGGCCTTAGTGAATAATGTACAATACGGCGGCACCAAGTTCCAAGCAATCGGATACAGGGTTGGTGTATAGGTATAGGATTGCAGCACCGCAACTTATCATGGGACATCACTGAAATTAAGGATAATGTGACGATGAGTACTGAAGCTACGTTTGACGACCACACCATGACAGTGGTTGCGACAGATGAGGTGGATCTGATGGACATACCGAACAAAAGGAGTAGAGCAAAATGATTACACTCTTCAGAGGTCTCGTGCTTTTCGTTCTGGAGTACTGCTGCCAGCTTTGGGCACCACTCTAAAATCAGGCGCGGTGCGGCAATTGGAAGTAGTCCAAACACCAACGGACCTTCACGTCCAGGATCAGCAGGATGAGGAGCCTGCGCCACCGGCATATGTTGGAGCCACAAATTAAGTACTGTACTCACTGGAGGGAATATAGAGGTACATCAGGTGTGTGCTGTGGTGTACTCTTGGATGATAATCTAACAGACCCCAAACTCTGATAGACGTTCAGAAAAAAATATATATAACAACGGACGGAGGAGTAGACTGTGCAGAATACCTTCAATTAACAACCGAGCTGCTGCCAGAGTTCAGACTCTTCGTGAGGGATCACTGTTCTTGGCAGGACCGAGGCTACTCAACGCCTCTCTGAAGGAGCTGAGAGGAGGGAAGTTATTCCTCGCGACATCTAGGAGACAATGGATGCGTTTATAAGTCGTGTCAAGTAACAAGCAACAGCATCTCGAATCAGCTGGCTCTAATAAGGGCAGCTGCATGGTGGTCACGTTCAACGATGCTAGCTAGTGTGCAGCACCAGCACCTGCAGAAGCAGCACCGCGGCACTAGCTGGGAGCGTCACGGTGCACCAGCAGCAGCACTACCAAGAGCAGCAGCACCACCACCACCAGCTGCAGCACCAGCAGCACTAGCTGAGAGCGTCACGGTGCACCAGCAGCAGCACCACCACCAGCACCAGCAGCAGCAGCACCACAACAGCAGCAGCACCACCACCACCAGCTGCAGCAGCAGCAGCACCACAACAGCAGCTGTAGCAGCACCACCACCACCAGCTGCAGCAGCAGCACCACAACAGCAGCAGCACCACCACCACCAGCTGCAGCAGCAGCACCACAGCAGCAGCTGCAGCACTAGCTGAGAACGCGGCGGTGCAGCGGCGGCAGAATAAGCTTGCCTGCGGTCGAGTCGTCAGTGTGAGACACGGCTCCGTGGTGGGCGGTGCGATCATGGGCTGCTGCTTATGGAGGTTGCTTTGGTGCTATCATGTTGTCTCACTGCACTGCTTCTCTACCTTAACACACTTCAGGCTGAGTTTGCCTACGATGACAGGTAGGCAAGCCTTCATCATGTCCTTGTTATCAAGTGTTTGTGCTTAGTCAGTGAGTCGACGACTAAAGTCGTCAAAAGAAGACGAGCTGCAGACACGCCGTGCCATACTGATGCTACACGCCATCGTCTGTCAGTCTCACTCTAACCACTAGATAGATCCTTGAGTTGTGGCGTATCTAGATCCTAGAGACGTGATCCTCTAGATCCTGAAGATCATAGTGAAGTGTGATGTTAAGCCGAATGCGCCCGGCCGCGGCCGCTATACGAGGTCGGCTGCTCGGTGTTCGTCAACTCGCGCCGTGCCGCCGTCTCCACCTAATCAAACCTCGTTTCTGTTCGGTGTACAGATTTTAACTTCGTTAACCTGTCTCGTGTGTGTCGCAGTGTGTTATCCTAGTCAGTTAACTGCTGTAGTGCAGTCGCTAGAACTAGCGTAGTTAGTGTAGCAGTAGTATAAGTAAGAACTACAGTAGGTTGTACGTTGTAGTGAGCAGTGTCAGGGAACTGCCCGATAGTCGGGCGGCGTGAGCGGCGCCCGCCAACACGTGTCGCCGCTGTACCGACATTCGTGGCGACGCTTTAGGCAACTGATGTGGATTACGGATTAATATACGTGTTAATTTCTTTGTTTAAAGGTTAAATTAACGTTATTTTAATGTCAAATGCGTAAAGGGGATATGTCTGTGCTTTGATAGCAATTATGGCAACTTGGCAAGGGAAACTGAAAACACATTAGCAGGAAATACCTCACCCGATGGCTAATATAAAATGGTAATGTGTATAATTATAATTTGTTGTTCTGCAGTCTGTAACACTGGTTAGAATAATAATATGTTGCTCTGTATCATTGGTTAGAATAATGATGATAATGGTGCAGCTGATGTGTGCTGTGGTGCAGCTGATGGTGTGTGTTGTGGTGCAGCTGATGGTGTGTGTTGTGGTGCAGCTGATGGTGTGTGCTGTGGTGCAGCTGATGGTGTGTGCTGTGGTGCAGCTGATGGTGTGTGCTGTGGTGCAGCTGATGGTGTGTGCTGTGGTGCAGCTGATGGTGTGTGCTGTGGTGCAGCTGATGGTGTGCTGTGGTGCAGCTGATGGTGTGTGCTGTGGTGCAGCTGAT